AAAAAAAAAAAAAAAAATACAAAATCCATGTATTATGTGATAATTGGAGGCCATCTCAATAGCTATGCACCATCTTTCACGTTTGATACTGTCTTTGATTTCACTATTTTGGTGTGTGACCATAAAAGATTCATTTGTGATCAGCATTCCAACCATGCCAAGTACAGAAATAGCCTTTACTTTACTTGGTTCCTGTGACAATTGTTTGATCAGTTACATTTTATGGGTATCTTTGCAATACTATAGAATACCTTTCTTCAAAAAGACCTACCTTAGGGCAAGGCACAGTAGCTCACCCCTGTAATCCCAGCACTCTGGGAGGCCGAGGCAGGAGGACTGCTTGAGCTCAGAAGTTCCAAATCAGCCTGAGCAAGAGCGAGACCCCATCTATACTAAAAACAGAAAAATTAGCTGGGCATCGTGCCACACGCCTGTAGTCCCAGCTATTCAGGAGGCTGAGGCAAGAGGATCATTTAAGCCCAGGAATTTGAGGTTGCAGTGAGCTATGCTGATGCCACTGCACTCTACCCAGGGCAACAGAGCAAGACTTGGTCTCAAAAAAAGTATAACCCCCTTCTAATCCAGTGTTGACATTATTTTATATTATATATAAAAAGTATATTATTTATGACCCCATAACATCTAACTGTGTGTTATCCACTCTTAAGTGCTATATAATTCTGTCTATTCCGTGTTAAATTTGTTTGAATTATCTTAGAACAATTCTGCTTCTTCTTCATAAACACCACCATTAAGTTCAATACTACAAAAGGTTACGTATTTATGAGCAAATGAGTGATATGTCTTTTTGGGTAGTACTGGATTAAAATCTGATGAGCAGAATATGTCTGGCTTGAATACTGTTCTGAAAAAAAATAGAGCCTATTTTATCGCTAATCTCAGCGTTCCCCTTGTAGGCTTGGAAGTCTTTGAAGGGAAACTAAGTTATAAATCACAATTAGAATAACATACTGAGATATGTATATTTATGCATTTCCTCTACAGGTAAACTCAAGATTAGTCATAAGCACTTCGAAGAAGCTTTCAAGAAAGTAAAACCATCTGTATCAAAAAAGGTAAGATATATCACATTGGAGATTAAAGAACAAGAAAAGATAAGAAATGCTCTTCAATGTATAAAGGGGAATAGAATTAAAACCAGTAACTATTAATTGTAAAACTCTGTTTTATAGTTTATTTTATATATCATTTCTACTTCCTGACAAAAATTGCATGTTTCATTTTGACCTGAAAACAAACAAAATAATTGTCTTCGTGAGAGTGTTCTTGAGAGATTTTAATTTTGTGTTTCTTAGTGACTGGAGCATAGTTCTAACTAGATTCTCTAACAACTACTTATTCAGAGAGAATGACCTCTTGTGTCTGTTTCCACAATCTCAGAATTTGTAATCAGTCTCATTCAAGTATTATTTGACTTACCCCACCCTTTCTGACAAATGGTTTCTTATCTTCTTGTAGCTAGATTGTACCCAAACTAAGCCACAGGGACTTAGCTACCATTTCAGGGAAGTAAAAATATCTTCACCATAGGTAGAAGGGTGAAAAAGTTATGCCAGGTTTTACATGTTTGTTTCTTACCATGTTGAGGTATTGCTTGTAATAAGTTAAAATGGTTGCTATTAAATGAAGTCAGGTTATATTGTGACACTTACAAAGAGTGATACAGGGAAATATCCAACCCTATGAAGTGTCTGAATTGGATACTGTTGTGGTAAGCTTTGTTCACTTGGGTATCATACTGCTTCCAGATTCCTACAAGTATAATATGCCTTAGCCAAGGTACACTGTTTATTGACTATATTAAACTTCCTTTAAATTTATTACCCTAGGCTCAACGTTTCTTTTTTTTTTTTT